CCGCGCCCCACACCGAGAACACAGGTCGACGGGAACGCACGCACCTCGTCCGCGCAGCGCAGGTCGGGGGCTCTCTGAACGAGGACCAACCCCAGCAGCCGCCAGGGTTGTCCCTCGCTCCCTGCAGTCTCCTCGCCGCGCCAGGGGCCGCTGGGCCGTTTCGGTCGTGGGCGGCTCTAACTGCCGAGTGTTAGCCTCGCCGGTCTGAAACCTGTTTCCTCACAGCAGGTGCCGGTCGGCGCTCCGGTGCCCTTGGGGCAGGTGACAGCCGCCGGCTCACACGCACGGAGCTCTAACGCCCGCAGGACCCCCACTGCCCCTGGGTGTCCCCTCTCCCCGACAGCGCCCCCCGCCCCTGCTCTAGGGCCTCGCAGGTGGCTTCCGGTCCAGGCTCCGGCCGGCAGGGCCGCCTTGTCAGGCGTAGCTGGGCTTCTTGGCCTTACGCCTCCTAGAAAGAAGGCCGCACCCTCCTCTGGGGCTCTTTCGCCAAATGTTAAGGGAAGGGGTTTCCGAGACAAGATCTTCCTTGTCTCTTCCCAGAAAGACGTTATGAACCGGTGAGCTCCTGCCGCCGCCACGCTGAGAAAGATGCGCTCGTTTATTTTAATTATGCAGAGAAGGAGCTGGATGGGAGGGGGCGCCTCCGCCCCACCTGCCCCGAAGCCCCACCCACCGGAGGAGCGCCTGCCACCCGCAGAGCGACCTCCCCTTCTCGGGAGCCAGGCGGCGGCTGGGCCCCCTGGGAGAGCGGGGGACGGGCGGGATTGATTGCCAGAACCCAGGGCAGGTATTTCCAAAGCGCACTTCAAGACCAGGATTTAGGAACACACCGTGTCTCTGGGGCAACTCGTGAAGCCTTTTCGCAAAAATGAGACCCTTGTTTGTTCCCTTGCTTCCCCCTCCCCCATCCACCAGGAGGTGGGGAGACACAGCGTTCAGACTTTTCTGTTTGAACTTCATCACCGTCTTAAAGGGCTCCCAGGACACGAGGAGACGCGAGGTGCGGGGCCTGTCTGTTCCCGGGACTGTGAAGACGGCGTCGCAGGGGTTCACACGCGTCCAAACGCACGTGCCGTGTCCCCTCGGTCGGTGATGCCTTGGTAAGGAGCCAGGGGTCGCGAGCCCGCCCGAACCCGGCGGAATGTCCTTCTCTTTCGGTAACACAAGCTGCGGGGCTCTGAGGGGACGGACCGCCGGGCAGACGCTCCATTTCCTCCCATTTTAAAGCCAAGAAACCGCCCGTTTTCCAGCTTCTTCCAGAGTCGTTTCTCTTTTCCCTCCTTTAGGGTTGATTTTCTCTCCTCAGCCTTGACTTCCCAGGCGGGTCATTTTCCTTTTTTTTTTTTTTTTTTAACCATTCGGTTTCCAAATGCCATTTTCCTCCCTCCACCTGAACTGTCTTTCTCCTGCTCCGCTTTCCCGGGAGCTTAGCCTTTGTTCACATCAGATCACCCCATCGTCTGTCTTTTCTGCTCCCAATTTTTTTCCGTCGCAGTTGACCCTCCATATGATGGTGTGTCAGTTCCAGGGGACCGCGTAGCAGTCAGGCCCTGGTGTCGTTGATCCTGGCCTGGGAGAACCTTTCCCCGAGCCCGCCGGCCCCTCCGGCGTGTTTGACCCACTCTGTGGGTGGGGCGCAGGCTCCGGTCAGAAAGGGACTGTGGACGCCAGACAGAATGGAGATCAGGGACACGCCACTCCGTGCGGCCGCGGGACGGTCCCTCAGACGTGAGGTGCGCCCGCGCGTTAGAAGCGACTAGGAAGGAGGCCGTGTGAAATTTCTTCTGCGCCGCCATGATCATTAAAAGGGAGCATGTCCAGGAAGTCTGGCCAGGCTTTTTTTTTTTTAATCCGGGGTTTTTTTGTTGGTGTTATGTTCTACACATTTGGGAGAAGGAACAATGGGAAGGGGGTAAAAAATGAGGCAGGGTCCTGTGTGGTCGTGGAGGTGACAACGTTCATCAGCAAGCGGAAGGAAAGGGACAGGGGCCCCAGGGCTGAGTCTTGGGAAGGAATAGGGTGGCTTCTGTCTGCTGGGAAGACAGGCGGGAGGGCGGCCCTAGGGCGCATGCCGGAGGGGCGGAGGGGGCGGGATTCGAGAAGGACCTGGGCACCGTCTGAGGGCAGACGCGCCCGAGTGGAGAGGCCAGAACGGAGCTGAGGGAAGCCGGGCTTTCAGCTCGCTCTGCCGAGTGCATGATGGGGCCGCCGCCCAGGTCCGACATACTCAAGTTGAAGGAGGTCTCGGCACTCGTGGAAGCGTGTATTTGAGGGAACGCTGAGTTTCGGGTGCCCGGGAGGCACAAGATGGAGCCGCCGAGGACGAAATTGGGTGTTTGGGTCTGCGGCGAGGAGCCAGAGCCGAAGGCGTCGCAATGCCGCGTTCTGCCATGTGTCCTGAGCACTCCTTGTGCCCAAATTTTTGAGGGAAGAATAACGGTGCGCGTTATGCATGGGTAGTATCTGAAATACCTCCTGTCCTTGTGCTAATTACTCGTTACATAAAATTTCTTCTACCATAACCTATTCAAAAACAAATGCTGAGACGCCTTTAGGATACCCCAAAAATAAATAATAATCCCGAGGACCTACGTATAAATAAATAAATAAATAAATAAATAATTGGACATGAAAATTAAAACAGAAGGGTTTTTTTTTCCCCTCTCCTGAACACATGGGCCCAAAACATGAGTGCGCATTATACACAGCGAAATAACGGTATTTAGGGGACAAGGGCTCAATACGGCAGGAGCAGGCAATGTCACAAGGGAGCGACATGCGTGTGCAGAGCGTGTGTGGTGGGCTGAGGTCGGAAGGGCTGCGGGGAAGTAAAAAATGTGGCTCCGCGGGGGGCGGAGGGCAACGCAAATGTCAGGGCGAGGGGGGCGTTTCCGCCTGCAAGAAGCTGCCCGATAGGAACTTACCCCAGGACGGACCCTGGACCCGTTCTCTCTCCCCCAGTTATTGAACGCCAGTATCTGCTGTTTTGCCTCATAGATTAAAAACATAATAATTTGTCGAAATGGCTTTCCCTGCCCCGGAACGGCGTTTCGGGAAACCGGTTCTCACGTATTCATTTCCCAAGGCGAACCTGATGGTGTCGCAAGACACCAGAGCCACTCTCACGAGCTGGACAGCGCGCCCTCTCGGAAAAACAACCAGTCTTCCTTCCGACGCTTCGCATTTTTTTTTCCCCCATGACCAGAAGTATTCGGGGCCTCGTTTGAAGAAAGTCACGTACACACAACAGATAAATAGAGGCCACAAAGGAAAGAAAGGCTTTCTAAAGGACAAGCCCTCCCTGTGAGGCGCAGCTTTCTCCGAGCCTTTCGGGATTGGGCGTCGTGCACGCGAGCCTTGGACCGCTCGCCCAGCCCTGCGGGCAGCCTCTGCGCGTTGACCCTTTAGACTCCGGTGGAGGGGCCGCTTTGTGGAAGAGAGTGTTCGATTGTTTCATCCCGGAAACGAGAAAAGCGTTGCCTCTTCCTTCCCTTTCCCCATACATGGACTGTACTTTCATTTTTCAGGTTTTCCATTTGCGCGGAGTTTTCTCTGGAAGGCTCTGTGTGCGTCCACACCAAGCAGATCCAGCATCTCGGGTTTTTTCTCTCGTTGCTTCTTGACTCGTCCTCATTTTTCTTTGAATCCTTGCAGTGAGTGGTTCCGTTCTGCAGATATTTTATTGCACTTTCCATGGACTTGGGCATTTTTTCCCCTTCGCCCTGCCATACAGACATGTAGTTGAAAATGGATGGTCTACTCCCCCTTCTCTTCCTCTTCCTCTTCTCCTTCTTCTTCCCATCGTCCTTACAAAGTCATTTTAATTTGCCTCCCTTTTTCTCGTGGGCTCCCCTCAGAAGATACCCACAGAGCTGCATTGTAGGGTCACTTAGTGAACTTAACCAGGGACGCAAAGGGATAAATGTAGGTGTTTGTTTGGGCATGGCATGACCAGAGAATAAATTGAAGTCACTATTTCTGGGTAATTGAAAGAAATAGGCCTTCAACCAAGAAAGACAGCGTGTGTTCCTTGCTTTGCCTATTTATTATACCTGTCGGTATCTGGGATTTTTCGGCCCACAGCCATCAACTTGGACTTGCAACCCGAGAGTTAAGAGCTACACCCTTCCTTCGGTCAGGCAATTTGCACCGTGTTTAGAGAGGACAGACGTCAGATCAAATCTCGCTTGGGTTGGACTGAAATTGCTTAAGGTTCAATTTTCCTGGTACCCGAAGGCGTCCCCTCTGTGGTACATGCTGCACAGGAGATCTCTCTTCTTTGGCGTCCTGTCTGTCACCGCCTGTCCTTAGAGAGGCGGCTTCCAGTGCTTATCCCTGAACGCTCACCCACACGGGACGCCAGCCCTCAGCAGTTACACCGGGAGAGGGAGGTGCAACATGGCCTCCGAGCGGTTCCGAGGGGCAGCCGGGATTGGGGGGGTTTCAGGACTCGGGAAACACTCCTTTGGCTTTTTTGTTACTGTAGTTTTGAAAGCTACCCGCCCCCCTTGCAGCGATCTCTCCATTTATCTAAAACACGCGCGTCCAGCCCCACAGAGGGGCCGCGGTCGGCCCCGCAAGCCCATCTCGGTCCATTACCGCCGCCCACCGAGGACACGCCGCGGACTTTGCTGTAATTTGTAGAAAACCGCCCGAGTGCGTGGGTCTCTAACACCCCCGATGGCCACCGAGTCCTCATTAGCCCTGAGCCTTGTCATGCAGAGCTGGACGCCTGGCCCCTGATTTCATCTCAGACCAGGTAGCCATGGAGACAAGCCTCAGCCTCTGCCTGCCCGGCCCGGCCAACCGTGGGCAGCAGAAGAAAATAAACAGGCCAGCAAATTAGCTTCCTAAGTAAATCAAAGGCTCTGCTCCCAGAGCCCCGAATGGCTCCGTGTCTCTGGTCCCCTGTGTGCGTTTGCCCTCACGCCGGCCAGACACCCCACAGTCCCCCTCCGCCTCGCTGCTTTCTCATTCCGTTTTGTTTTTGTCTGTTTCAGATCCATCAACACTCCTATACTGGATATTATGTCCTGAGCAAAATTCCTCACGGGTAAGATTGTTGCTTCGTTTTCTTTCCACGAGAAATCGGCAGAACCGCGCCCAAGGCGGACACCGCCTAGTTGCTTCCTTGTTAGGAAAGGAGGGCAGGAAGCGGGCGCCTTGGCTTTGACTGCACGGGCTGCGGGCGGCGCTGTGGGGCCCCCGCTACTGCGCCCCGCACCCACCCCCTTGGGGAGCCCCCTGCCTAGGCCAGCTCTGCCCGGCCCCACTCTGGTCTGCGGGGCTTTGTCGCCAGCATCAGGAGTGAGGGTGGGGCTGGCCCCTAGACTCCCCTCCACGACATGACGGCCCCTCGAAAGTGCATGACCGGGGCCCTGCCCCCAGAAGTTCATCTTTGGAGCCCAAAGACAGCAAGACCTGGTTCGAGTTCGGTGAAGCCGAGTGCTGAGCGGGACACATGGAGACAAACAGTCGTGGAACTAGGGACGCGGGGCAGGACTGGCTTTTTATTGTTTGCATTTCTATTCTTTCTCTCCCCTCCTCCCCCCCGCAACCCTCCCGGAGCCCTGCCCCCCACCTTCTTGTTCCTCACCCCTTCGCTCTCCCTCAGACCTTCCGGGGTTCCTTCCTCGTGCTTTGGGAAGGTGAGGTGCTCAGGAGATATTCAGAGCACGCGGGGAGGCCCCCGCATCCCCCCACCCGGCAAGCCTTTTGCACGAACAGCCAGGGTTCTGACACATTCTGTCCCGCGGGAGAGCGGTCACCCCCGCGCCCCGTGCTCCGCTGGGGTCCGGCCGAACGTGGGCGTAGCCTTCAAACAAAAGACTCGCTTAGCAAAATGCGGCTCCTAGTGTCCGTTGGACGGTGAGAACCGCCAAGCCGGGAGGACTGGCGGTGGCCCACGCGAGTAAAACCGGAGTGAGCCACGGGCATGTTTCCTGCAAAGCATATTTCAAGCCGAAACTCAAAACGTGTCCCGCGCGGAGGAGCCGTCCCATTATTTTTCAAGCAGATACGCGTCTCCAAAGGTCACGGCAGGCGGCGTGTAATTATGCCTCGAGATTTATCTGCCCCTTCTGGGAACAATACAATTTATGGCGGATGATGGCTCTTCCGTGCCGTCTCGTATAAATTTGTAAAACTCAAAACTCTACAAGCATTTTATGCTTCCCAGAGGGTGCTCATGTTTTGCTGTGTCCATCAGAATTTAGGAGAAACAGATTCCCAGCACTTGGCTCAAGAGGTTACCAAGCCAGGGGCGCACCTGAGGACAGAGTGGCCTGTGAGGGGGCCTCGGTTTCAGTCTCACGGCGACAGTGTCCCAGGCAGGGCGCCGACAGGTTCTCAGCCGCTTTGGGTGTTTCTCAGATAATCCCGGCGACCTTCGTTGCCGCCGTTTCGTGGGTGATGTTCATGCACCTTCAACCCCGCACGGCAGCCCTGTAGGAACGGCCTCCTCACGTCCGCCGGCGGCAGGACCCCTCCCAGCCCGTGCCTGGCTGGCTTGTGCTCCCAAAGCAACCGCTTGGGTTGTAGCAGGAACTGTCACCAGCGGGGGCCACGAGAATTTTTAAAACACACGACACCAGACTCTTTAGCCAGGGGCACGGACCTCTTTTCCCTTCGGTTGTCAAATTAAAAAAAAAAAATGACAACAGGCAACACCACAGAAGCCGTCCGGCGGGAGCGAATCACACCGGGATACCTGACTTTGGTCAGGCGGGCCGCAAATACAACACCTTTGCCCGGTGCGCCGCCGAGCGTTAGTGAGGAGTGTGTGTGTGTCGTGAGACGGGGCTGGGCATTGCGGGGTTTCAGGGCGGCCGTGGGGGTCAGGCTTCTCCGCGTGCTCGTGCGCTTTCTTGCCAAGGCCTGGCCTGGTTGCAAGACGTAGCAGGTGACTTGTTACATTGACTGGAAACGATGTCTAGGGGGTGAGGAAGCCCGAGGCCCTTCTGTCCCCGTGTACACTGACACCGCCGCTCCCAGAATGCCCCGGCTCGCCGCCCCCGCCCCTCCGCCCCATCTTGGCCACAGGATTGCTTTTGGAAGATGAGTCGTTTAACGCATTTCAAATATTGGCCAAGTCTCCTTTCTCTTCACGACACGGTGGGTGTCTGAGCTGGGGGAGCCGCTGGGCCGCAGGCGTCCGCCACGGGCCCCTCGAACGGCAGCTGGCAGGCGCTCAGGCAGGTGGCGGCCCAGGTGTGTGGCTCGCGCCACAGGTGGGCATGGGGTACAGAGGACAGTGCCATTGTCCTTTTAAGACCAAAAGAGGTCTATCGAGACATTTGAATTTGCATGACTCGTCATCCCAAAAGACCTGACAGCTTTTCTTGACGCGTCTGAAGACAAGGTCTGCACCTTTGCACAGATGTCTTCATTCTGTCCCCAAAATTTCCACCTCAGGCCAGAGGCCACTCAGTCTACAGGATGAGATTACTTGTCATTTAATGCTTGATTGTTTTTTTTCCTTAGCTTCAGGTTTTCCAGCCAGTGAGAGAGAAGGGCTGAATTTGTCAACGCCCTGTGAATTCTGCTTCCCTCCCTCTTTGCGAGGGGCAGAACGAATCGGGGAGCAGTGTGCTCATCCAGCGCAGGGCAAAAGCAGGCTTACAGGTGTTCGTATGGAAAATGGTACAATCCTTAATAAACAATTCATGGATAGACAGTTTTTACGTATTCTCAACGGCAGGCCTACCTTTGCCCTACCCTGTATTGACTGTGTCTTTCACCCGCCAGAAGGGGGCGCTCTCTGACCCCGGCATGAACGTGCCCCTCCAGCTCTGAGCTCTGCGGCCAGAGCCTGGTAGGACCCTTTCTGCACAGAACGGTTCCAGTCACGATGACGTTCCCCAGACACTTGAATTTTCACCTGTTCAACCATCTAGTGCCTAGAGGTCACATACGAAGTTGCCAGCAATTACTTTCTTACAGGACTTGGATCCTTTGCACAAATCTGTTTATCGAACCAAAATTGAAGCTAGTCGTCCTTCACACAAAGTGTCCCACTACGTTTTTATACGAGAATTTCAACAAAACAAAGCAATCTTCCGCCATAGGAAGATGATATGGCCAGCACTAAGTGCTCTCTATTACGGGTCTGTCGTGTATAGTCCTGGAAATTTTGTGTGCCCGTGCCCGCTTCTCGGTGTTTTCCTGACATGGCTTTTTCCTTGCATTGCTTTTCTCTTTGAGTCCTTTTCTCAAAAGAAGGTGCATTTTGACTATTTGGTCTCAAATCTCTCAGGATCCTTCTGCAAATCAGGACGTACATAGATAGAGAATATCGCTCCTTCCCTAACAGAAATCTATTTTTCACAAAACGGTGGCCAATGACCCCTCGTTGAATGGCCGTCCGGGATTTGCCGGACAGTAATAGCGTCACAGAGGCAGCGCGGGGTTGGAAGGTGTTTTGCATATGCACCAGACCACCTTCCGTGGGCATGGTTGCCCTCGCTTTGCTTATTTGCTAGTATTTTTCAGGCACCCACCAAAATGATGAGGTTACTTCTGCATCTGTGAAAATTATAAACTGAGGCACAGGTTCCTTCTCCCCGGACTGACCTTGGAGGCTGGGACGCAGAGGGACGTACTGTTTACTTAGCAAGTAGATATCTAGGCTGCTGAAAGACGCGCGACACCCAGCACCTGTCCGTCACCGTGATGTGGGGGTGCAGGATTTAAGCCCTGCAGCCACACAGGCCTGGAGGTGGGTCCCCGCCTGCTGCTGGCTTTGGGCTATGTGCCCTTGATCGTCGCGGTACGTCTACAAATCTTAATTTTCGTATTTTTTTATTATTATTGTTTTTCAGTCCTCACCCAAGGATGTCTTTATTGATTTTAGAGAGACAGGAAGTGGGGGAGAGAGAGAGAGAAGGAGAGAGAGAAATCGATCAGTTGCCTCCTGTATGCACCCTGACCAGGGATCAAACCCACAACCTAGGGATGCACCCTAACCAGGAACCGAACCCCCAACCTCTCGGTGTATTGGAACGATGCTCCAACCCACTGAGCCACCCGGCCAGGGCTCCGCATTTTTAAAAAAGGCAACAACAATGCCCACCTTGCAGGCACCTTATAAAAATTAAGTGGAATGATATATGCAAACGACATAGCAGAGACTTTTGCTTCTAGTGAACAAATGGGAATGTTAATTTTTAATAATGTAGCATGTACCCAATGTATACTTGTGGTCTCTAATTAAACATTATCTGGCTTTACTTTCGAGGCAGCGCAAATCCTTCCTGTTGCCAGGAAAGGCATGATATACTGTATAATAGAATCCTTTCCTAATTTTTCAAGGCTAAGGGTTGTTGCGTGACACTCGGGTAATTACATGTGATTTTTCATTTCTCTCCTAAGAGAGCCATCTCGGCACCCCCCCCCCCGCCCCATTCTCAATATTCCACTGCAATTAAATATAAGCATTCCTGTCGAGCGTCCCGGGGAAGCAGAAAAGACAATGTAAGTCAACAAATATTGACCGAAACGCTGTATTGAGTAGCAAAAGCCGGGGTTGCTATCCTTCAGAAGTTCAAAACCTTGCTGGAAAGAAAAGGCACAGATGGATACATATAATTTAGTGCCTCAGATGAGTATTTTGAACACTGAACACAAAAGGAGAGAGAGCTGCGGGCGCCAAAGGCCTTAAAAAGACAGTCTGGCGTGAGCCGCGCCTTAGATTGAGCTGCTGTTTGTTTGTTTGTTTGTTTGTCTTTTGAATAGACGGAGACAGAGAGGAGGGAGTGCCGTGGAGCTAATCGTTAAACAGGCTTGGCCTTTGCGGTGAGCCAGCAGCTTCCAGGGATTCGGGGGTGCCAGGCGGGGGCAGGGGTGCTCAGCTGGGCCTGCGCCCGGGTAGAGATAAGGTTGGGTGACCCTGGGGACAGAGGGCGCAGGCGCCACCCCAGCGTGGCGGGTCTTTGCAGTAATGAACCTGCTGAGCACTTGGAGCAATGAAGTCAGCAGGCTCAAATTAGGTTTATGCTCCGGTGCAGAGCCGGCGGAAGGGCCGGGGAGCTTAGGAGCACAATTCAATTAGGAGGC